GTACTGGTATATAGGCTTGCTATCAGACCAATAATCTGTGTTGGAATTCACCTAAAACTCAGAATCTCCCATAGCGATTCTTGATGAATTGAATCAAATGCCTTCTCGAGGTCCATTTAGGCTGCAAGCAACCCACGAGCGAGCTCATGACGGCGTACCACAATTACTTGAAGCACTAGGATATGGTCTATTGTGGGCTTGCCAGGAGTGAATGCAGACTGCTCTGGTTTCTGGTGACTTAGTAGGTGGTTGTGGATCCATTTCAGAAGAATGTGGGCAAATCTTTGCCTGGTATGCTGAACAGTGTAATGCTACGGTAGTTACTACAGTCCCATCGATCCCCTTTCCCCTTTCTGGAGGGGAAAGGAGAAGGGTACCTCAACAGATCAGTGGAAAAGGAACCAGACTGCCAGATGGTAGTCAAGACTGCATGCAAACCCCATAGGTACAGCCCCAACCTTTGATAGTTTCAGCAGGGATATCACACATACCTGTGGCTTTCTCACCCCAGCTTAGAAATTGCCATCCTAACCTCAGGGTAGGAGGTTCCTCGCTGATGGGTGGGTCCGGCACAGGCATTGTGATACCACTTGCATCCAAGCTAACTGTTGGAGGGTTTACCTGGTACAGCTGCTGAAAATACTCAGCCCAACGTTCATGAACCCCAACATGACCTGTGATGATCTGTCCATCCACTGAGTGAGCTGCAGTCATCTATGAGGAGGGCTTAGAATTTAATTTTCTCAGGGCTCGGTAGGCAGGACGAAGGTCATTTACCAAGAGATGGCCTTCAACCTCCTTAGCAAGATTCCCGATTACTGATATGGCAGAAGAATTCATCTTCCCTGCGTGTATAAAGCCAGCTGAGTAGTCAGTGCATATATGACTCGTCGTGGGGATCAGTAAAACACAGAGTTGATGCACCTAACTGTATGTATTGAGGAGGAGCTATGTAGTACAACCGAGGGTTGTTTACATTACGGATATAACAGTCTGCAGTTAGATGGCGTACATAAAAGAAAACATACTCTTGTATGGGTAACTTAACAAAATATAATTTTACCTTAGTTTAGGTAATATGAGGTATATAATTGATACATGAGATATAAGTAGCCTTATACTAATAACCATCTTTGATTATTCCAACACCGATAAACTGTTCCTTGTCCCATTCTCAGCAGTGTCCGAGCCCTATGCACCAAAGAGCGATGCAAGTCCTAATTGCCATTCGGCTAAGCCATGTAACACGCTTTAGTAGCCTCCAATGTCTCCAGGGAAATAAAATTCTGCTCTCAAGATAAACAGATTTGACACCACCCCTTCAGGTTGAATAAAACATAAGAGAAATATGAAAACACTCATCCATCATGAAAAAAAGAAAAGAAAAAGAAGTAAGGGCATCTTCTGGAGGCGCCATAAAGGTTAACCCAGTATTAAAGTTTAAGTCAGATTTCTAATATGATGGCAATGGCAGCGTCCAGGGCTGGATTTAATTCACCTCCAGACCAGACTTTACTTTTGAGCTCAAATTTTAATTCCACCATTCATTTATTGACACATCATGGCAACGTCATCAACTCTATAGAAAAGATGGAGTTCAGTTGCCATTGATAATTTGTAATAAGCAATAATGAAACAAATTGACATTTTCATGTCAGAGGAATGCAGAGTTTACAGAAAAAGAAAAGGCCATGTTATTTCCAGGTTGGAAAAACATTCCCAGCTTATGCAATATTGCAATATACTAACCGAATAATAGAGAAAGCTTTTAATAACATGATTAGGTTTCAAATATAAAGTACAATCTTCCTGATTCTTAAAACTATAGTGACTTGGACTCCTGCGATGCTTTTGCGTTTGAAGGACTCTCACAGAGCAACTAGGTCCATCAGGCTTTCAAGTTCCGTGAATCGATTAGAGACTGCCGTGGTGAACCCACGGGCACACTCCTCCTTCAGTCTGTCCAAGTAAAACACCATAGAGTAGCCACAGGATGGATGGGTTTTGAAGTGGACCCATGGGGTAGCCACTACCAGCCTATGTTTGTTTTTCTCTGTCAATTAATTTAGACTGTTTACAGAGGCAGCATGAAGAAATCGATAGTCGTCGGCGTACCGAAAAGAAGTTTTTGGCAATTGACGACAGATGATTAATGAATAAAATTGGGCCTAGGATGGAGCTTTGTGGAACACCAAACGAAACTGATTGCTTTGATGATACCTTTTCATGGATTTTGACTGATATATGTATACATATATTGATATATATATATACATATATATTGATATATATACATATATATTGATATATATACATATATATTGATAGATATACATATATTGATATATATACATACATATTAATATACATATATAATGATATATACATATATTGATATATATACATACATATTAATATACATATATAATGATATATACATATATGTTGATATATACATATATATATTGATATATGGATCGATTTAGTGACACAAACACCAAAGGTCTGTGGTCGGTGTAAATAATGAATGGGCGGCCTTACACATAAGCATCAAAGTTTCTGACCACCTCCACCACTGCTAAGGCCTCAACATCAATGGCAGGATATCTTTTTGCCTCTCTAAACTTACGTGAAAAATAAGCAACGGTATGAGGGACTCCTACCTCATCTCGTTGGATCTAACATTCTCCAATGGCAATCTGGGAGGCATCAGGGTGCACCTAAAACAGGGGAATAAAGTCGGGCTTCCTCTAGACTGGTGCAGATGTCAGCCGATCTTTTAATGCTTCAAGTGCTCGTAGGCGCTCTTCCTTCCACTGAAATTTTCGTCCCTTCCTGGTGAGATATGTTAGAGGTGCAGTTGTCTCTGCATAACTGAGGATATGTTTGCGGAAAAAGCCTGTACAGCCTAAAAGTTGCATTAACATTATGTGGGGGCTTGATTTTACTAATGGCCTCTACTTTTGTAGGATGGGTATATAGCCTTTCTAGTGTTTTAGAGCTATTTGAGTCCTCATGGATGCTTCTGCTTCTGCCCGAAATTGTCCCGAAGCTCCTCGTAACATCTTATCCGAGGAGAATTGCCTGGTAATCCGAAACCTTCCAACCGAATTGCAGTGATTGATCCTCACGTCTGACCCGGCATCGCTAAACCTTCAGTTTCTCGGCCATTCACCATTAGATGTATTATGGGTCTCATGTGGTTTACCATATATATGTATGTATATATGTGTGTAAGTATTTATATACATTTGTATGTATATTTACATATATACATATATATGTTTATATATATACATATACATACATACATATGGATATATACACATACATATACATGTGTATACATATGTATATACACGCACACACACACACATATATATACGGAAATAATCACCATTTATTAGGTCTGTTTATTAAAGCTTGCGGTGTTATTTTATGCAGAATTACCTCGTAAACAGTTACAAATATTGATGTAGTAATGGTAACTGTTTCACTGGATATCGTTAATGATAAGATGTTAAACATATGCCACTCGACAGTCACAGCCACAAAACTGTTTCAGATGGCTATTGTAGCATATGGATTGGGAAATGAGTGAGGAGAAAGAGAGATTATGAAGAAAGAAGTGAGCAAGGGAAAAAAAACAAAGATGGAAAATAAGAGAGAAAAAGAAAGCGTGAGATACAGTGAAAGCGAAAGAGTCAGTCAGACAAACAGATGCAGGTTTGATATGAGCAACAAAATGGAAAATTAGAATAAAACTGAATACTTTAAGAGCTTGATATTTGTTATCCTTTAATAATGGCATTATTTTTTGGTCGAAGTCAAATCAACATGAGGTTTATTATTAGCAGCAGATCTCCCCATTCTATTTTAATGATTAAACTTATTGTTACCACGTCATATTATACAATTACTGCAACGACTAACTGTACTTATTGTATAGACTGTATTATGGAATGTATTTTGGAATGCTTTAAAAATACGTGGCTATTTATTTGATAGGAGCGGTATCGTTGAGGAAAAGCACTGTGTAAGTTTGTTTGTTTTTTTTGCAATTACGGTGTTTCTGTCTTAGGAATGAGATTTATAGTGTGCAGATTCTGACGGCAACAAGTTATCTGGAAGAGGTTTTAGAGGAAAAAGCTTAGAGAATATTTTATATATGTATTTCTAACGAAGATCAAATACATCTTTTGTATTGTGAAGATATTCATTCTCATTCTTACCTTTGCTACATGTGCAATGAACGCGGTTCATTATATCACATCATTATTTTATTAACATAAAATCATTCTTACTGATTTTATTGGCAAAACCATCACCACCATTACTATATATTTTAGCATGGCCTCTTACCCTGAATTTTTCCTTATTTTTTTTTACTTATTTATTTATTATCTATTTTTAATTGGAGGGATGTTTTAATAAGCACAAGTAAGCTTATACAAATATTACTAGGACGGTAGCAAAGACGGAATTAATGATAAGGAAGAACTACACAAACGCTGAGTCTTTCAGGATTTATAAGAGTTGGCAACTAATGCAAAAAAGTACGGAATGACACTAGTGGTGACCAATTACCACAAGGGAGTAATAAAAAGGCCATTACCATATCCAATATTAACTAAAAGGTATATTCACACTAACAGGTACATATACATACACATCTCTCTCTTGTCCTCTTGCTGTGGTGACCAGCCCGCGGCAAGCTTCGGCGCTCCGTAGAACCTAATTCGCCAAACGGCGTGTGTCCTACGGAGCGCCGAAGCTTGCCGCGGGCTGGTCACCACAGCTAACTTACAGGCAATTGTATAATTTGATTGTATCATTATATGTATGCTATTCTAGATGCACATGCATACAAGTAGATATATAGACAATTTGTTTCTCGCTCTTTCTCTCTTGTTCTCTCCCTCCTTGCTCTTCCCCCCCCCTCTCTCTCGCTCTTGCACTCTTTCTCTCTTTTGCTCTCTCTCTCTTGCTCTCTCGCTCTCCCTTTTTCTCTTGCTCTCTCTCGTCCTCTCTTACTCACTCTCTCTCTCTTTTACTCTCTTACTCTCTTGATCTCTCTCTCTCCATCTTGCTCTCTTGATCTCTCTCTATATATACATATACATATATTTCTATCTCTATCTGTCTATCTCTGTCTCTCTCTCTCTCTCGCTCTCTTGTTCTCTTTTCTTGCTCTATTGCTCTCTCGCTCTTCTACTCTCTCATTCACTCTCACTCACTCTCTTGCTTTCTCTCCCTCTCCCTCTCAGAACCGACAGGAAGTTCTTGTGATGAAGAACCTGGAGGAAGTGACCAACTGGAACGAATATTCATCCTCATTATCGTCTGGAAAAAATGTGAAAAGAAAAACAAAGGACATCAGCCGATTCTTCTTATATTTTGATGAAACAGTAAATAAATACAATAAAATAAATTAAACGATATATTAATCAATAAAACACTGATACAGTATATAACGTTTTGCTTAACTGGATATAAACTGACCGTTTTCCTGATCCAGTAACACGTAGTTTTGATTTCTTATTTCTGCGTAGCTTTCTGCCGGCAATTCTGGGCTCTTCGTGTATCTGTTGAAAACATTATTAAGACCTGAATTTTCTGTAGCACTGTATGAATAAACGCAGTAATAGTAAACAATATGCCAATAAACAAAACAGTTGCACACCAACACAACGTAGGTCTGCAAAACGTCTTTACTTTAAAAGCATCTGAACCCGATCCTCTTGCGACATCTGTGACCAGGGCGACACCCTCGCTCCTGTAAAAAAAGAAAGAAAAAAATATATGCAAAGTAATATGTAATACTAATAATGTAAAATGAAATGTAAAATGTAAAATGAAAAAAATATATACAAAGTAATATGTAATACTAGTAAGGTAAAATGAACTTTCCTACTTGGAAATTTGATATATAGTGTACGAATGTGAATCACTTAGCTTACACTCACAATCTTTAATTGTATTTGTACTTTTATATAAATCAAAGCTAGTTAAATCTCCTGCAGTCAAGTATCCAAGAACGCAAGGTACAGAACAATGCAACAGTATGCACGCATGCTTCACTTCAACACCGTCTTGAGAAACTTACCTTTGTTGATAGACGCGGTGTACTGGTCGATGACATAACCCTCATTATCGCGATGCAAATGCACTACCTCAGACATGCTCCGATCCCCTGCAATGACGACAGATAGAGGGTATAATAGGTGGCCATTGGCAAATATATATCTTGGGCTGAATGTCAACACTTACTCATTCTCCTTTCACTTACTGTGTCCTCTCCGCATTTCATCAAAGCGATCCAGATGCGACCGGATATTGGTGGCGCTCAAAAGGGGGGCGTCCTGCACCGGAGCCGGTCGCGGGGGGCGCAGGAAGCGGCAGATCTTCTCGATGTAGTCTCTTTAGCCAAGAAGGATATTGGGAAACGCATTATGAGTCAACAAATGAATAAGTGTGTAGGTATATACATATATTCACACACACACACGCACACACTCACTCACACACATACAGACATGCATACATACATACGCACACACGTATATACATATAAATAGATATACATATATATATGTATATATGTATGTATGTATGTATATAAATTGTGTATATGCGTGTTTATATAAGTATATATGTGTATGAGTATAAAAATGTGCGCCTCTTCATTTATATATATATGTGCATGATCATAGAAACGTCTGCCGCGGCTCACCTATCGCTGTAGTGAATGTGCGTGCGCAGGGCGACGACCTCGTACAGGTCCTTCACCAGCGCCCTCGGTAGCGTTTCCGTGACCAAAGCCATAACCTGCCAATTCACGAATTCGTCATTTCATTGGACTAAATGATACAGTTTATTTCCTCATCCACGTAGTATACTAGACTATCTGAAAAGTCCTTCACCATCATTAGAAATAATCATAAATGAGACATTTCTTTCTTCTTTATCTATAAACGATAAAATGGACCTTCTTTGTAAATCCGAGTAATGCTACCATGGCCATAACATCCCTGGTAATAATAGTCTGAAAGAACATTCAACAAGGAGTCACTTTACAAAGGATAAATGACTAACCTTGAATTCTTCTCTGTCCATCTCCTCGTGACGCCCGCGACGAATCTCTCGCAGAGAACTCCTGACGGAAAACATCATATTGTGTGTATGAAGGCGTATATATATATATATATATATATATATATATATATATATATATATATATATATATGGGGTGCGTTTGTTTAATTATATACTGTACATACAAATACCCAAAGAGCTTCACCATTTCCACCCATCCACCACCGTCTTCCATGCACAAGCGCCCGACGAGGCTTACCTGCTTGCTGCAAGATTGTCAGTTGCAAAGACCACCATCCTTTCCGAATTTCTCACCGCTCTCTCTATGTTCTCTGTAAAATCATTTCAGTATTGCAAAACTGCAAAATATCTAGAGTAAGATCAATTAGCCTTATATCATTTTCTATGTATCAATAGTAAGAATAGGCTATTTCCAATAAAGATAGAATTATAAGTATCAAGCACATTATAATTAAACTCGTTTTATTGCTTTCCATGTACATCAGCCCTGTGCAACCTGCGGCCCAAGGGCCGCATGCGGCCCTCAAAGGCTTTCATTGCGGCCCTTTCTCCTAAAAATAAATAAACTATAGTGCGGCCCTCAGAGAGAGAGAGAGAGAGAGAGAGAGAGAGAGAGAGAGAGAGAGAGAGAGAGAGAGAGAGAGAGAGAGAGAGAGAGAGAGAGAGAGAGAGAGTTACCAAGTAGAGCCCACCGAAAGTTTGACAAAATTCATATTCTCGTGTACCAGTATCACCATATTTTTTCTATTTCGTTCACTAAGGTACAGATTTTAATTATATCAGAACAGAAAATAATATATTACTTGACATTTTTAATTATTAGATTGAGTGATCATTGGCTGTCTGTCTATGAGTCTGACACGTATGGTTCACGTACTGCATTTGTTTCGGAGAATTCTTATTTTTGTGATCCCAATATAAATAAAATCAGTAACAAAATTATTTCCTACCTTTATCAGTATAATCTCACATAATATGTCTTCGACCGTAGTAAATGACATGAAATAGTAAGGTTATGTGGCCCTCCATACCAACAGAGTCGTGGCTAGTGGCTCTTTGGGAAAAAAGGTTGCACACCCCTGATGTACATGATTTTTTATAATTATCCTTAGCACTACCGTCATTATGCTCCTCATCTGTTATCATTATCATAATTATAATCATATAATTCTTCGTTCTATCCGTCCATTAAGCTGGATTTTCACGTCGCTTTATTCTGATGAATGGTGGATAGTTTATGCCTGGAATCTTATTCCATAGGAATGCGGACTTTAAATAAATTCATTTTGGTGTAAAATGGGTTGATTATGTATATAGTACATGTATGTATATGTATATGTATATGTATGTATGCATATATATGTATATATACATATATATGCACACATATACATATATACACCTACATAGACATACACACACATATATATACACACATATATATATGCGTATAAGTATATGTATATATGTATATATGTATATATATACATACGTATACGTACATACATATATATAGATATATACATGTGCGTGTGTGTATAAGACCATGCACGCACTTATATGTATGTATGTACATATATATGTATGTGTAATGCTGACCTCGCATAATTCCTAAGTGCTTACCGTAGTAATATCTGTAAATTGTTGCATCTTTAGTGACAGACACACATACCTATAGTAATTTATTACTATAGGTATGTTACCCTGTATTTTATATATGGTTAATAATCCTCACCTAATTTAGTTGACTAATGTTATCACACACATAATATCTACACGTCACACTTTCAGTATTACACATTCATTATTAGTTTGCACATTTCCACTATGAACATACATATCAACATAGGTATAATTGCCACAGCAGGAAACAGTCATTGTCCGGCTGGTGGCAGTATCAAAAATGACACCAGGCCTATATATATACACAATATATGTACATACACATTTTTATATGCATATACATATATGTATATACATGCTATATATAGAGATGTATATAGATTATACAGATAGATAAATAAAATAGTATATATGTAGATGAGTATATATAATGTACATATACATTATATATCAATCTATATATAGATAGATAAATAGACAAACGGACATATATTGTACATACACAGTGTATAATCTCTCTATATAAATATAGATAGATAGATATACTGTATATATGTGTGTGTGTGTGTGTGGTCTCTGAACATCCCGTTATAACGAACTTCCGAAAAAAAACAATATGGAGTTATGGCACACGACACTAATACTACTACTATTGCTACTACAAAAATAATCTTGAAAAGAATGATGACCAAAATAATAATGATGTTAACAATAACGGTGATTCCAATCCAGCTGCTTCAGCAGTGTCACGAGTACATACCCAATATCCACGTCCCGGGAACAAACGCATTCTCGTGCCAGGCTACACTGTATCCGCGTTGGAAAAGTGGTATGATAAAGTTTTCTCGAACCATCTCATGGTCTTTTGAGGAGTGGACAACGAACACTGAGTACTTGCACTGGAAAGAAAATAAGCAAGAATCATAAAGGAATCTTGTTTACTGTAGGTTAATATCTCATCCCCCAGCTTAGTGATCAATAACTGTTACAGTCACAGCATCACCGTTAAGGTTCGATCAGCACGAGGAAAAATGGCACATAGCAAGTAGCTATCATTATAAGTTACACTTATTTTTTTTCTAAAGTTAACCTCCTGTTTAACTCCATTTCCTGTCCGTTCTCAGTCTCCTGTCCTTTCCTGTTCCTGCTTCTTCCTAATCTCTGGACACTATAGGATGCAGCCCACACCAGCTTCCAAGAGAATGCTTCTCCTACTAAGTGAAATCATTATAAATCTGAATAGTATGTGTGAATGTAATAGATACTCTACACAAGCAGCTAGCAAGTGCAATACTCATTAATTGTGGGAGGTTTATAGCAGTGGGCGTTCTCCACTCTTCATACACGATCCAAGCAGAACCCATACCTACTGTGACTGTCTACGCTCCTATATTTTAGAAAATCCTGTAATTCTGTTGATTACATTTGTTATTTTTCACTTTTTGATTTTATTTCTAAGTATTGATAAAGCATTTGTAGCTTGCCTTTATTGACGTATTGCAGATAAATATTATCCATACTTAGAATTATTTTAAAAATTACATTATTGCGAGAAGCTGTTTTAACATTAAACAAACCACAAGAAAATAAATGATAGCTTAGGATACCTTACAATTATGTTATAATTAAGTTATTTACAACGCCTCAATGTCTTGTTTTATGTCAAAAACACGTAATCAGACAAAAAAAAAAAATTTACTCGTGCAAGGCATTGCACAAACCTGCAAGTTCGCCCCATTGGCTGCCTATCTGCTAAACTCCTTTTGTTTTATATATACATATCCTTAGATTATGGCCCCCAGTTTGGGAACCACTGCTTTAGAGGATGGTTTCCCGGAGTACGATGGACGATACTGCCTTTGGTTGTATCATAAAGTAAGACAAATATAGACATATTTATGAAATTATCTAATCTATGTCTATATCTATCACATCAGAAATTGAACGTAGCTTTTTGAACTCATCGCGTAGCCCAGGAGCATTACATAATATACTATGAGTTGGAAAAAATAGAAAGCTAATTTTTTCATGAATGCTTCTTCATCCCTTCGTGAATCAAAGTCCATAAAGTCCCCCAGAATTCCCAACAAGTTTAACGCATGGGGCGACAAATTCCAAGATGGCCGCCGCCAGCCGTGTTACGAATTTTCTACTGTATAGCTCATAGGGGGATGCAATCTATCATTTGGAGGTTTTGCTGGCCTCTCATTCGAGGGGTCGGCGGTTCGCGTTCCGCCTAGGCGCGAGAAGTTTCAACAGTCGCCTGGAGGTTACTGCTGTGGTTGGGCACCACACTGGGTAGGACTAAGTTTAGTCGAATCAGCACCAGTTGCCTTCTGTTGTTCAAGTCTGCATTAATCGGCACTAACACGTGTGTACGTGCATGCGTACGTATGTGTGTAGATTCCCTTGTATGGGGCCAAAACAACATAGCCCAAGTACTCTAAGCAGAGAATATTGAGAAAAAAATATTCGTCATGAAGTACTAGATGTAATAGCAAAAATCCAGTAAGAGATGTGACAAGATACACCAAAGCCAATTTTTTTTTACCAATGGAAAGGGAAAAATTTATCCGTCAAATTTAGCAACCGAGGCAAAAGCTAACATGAGGATTCTGGACAGATTAAATGGATAAAATTGAAATCAATTTTGCATGAACCAAGTCACTCTCTAGTCTGTAACAAAAGAAAACTGAAATACGTCGTAATAGATAGGAATAATAAAAAGTAACCACTAAATGTGGATTAGTAATTAAGAGTTGTTCGTAATGTTACTATATTTCTTACCACTGCACTCAAATAATAAAAAAGACTGACCAACTCTTTTGATACAGGTTAGTCCTTTACACATGATGAGCGATCACCCCTGCACCTTGGTTTTTAGAGCCGTAGGAGGAATGTTGTTAGGCAAAATCTTTGCTAGCTACATACTGAAGCCATGTCAGAAAAAGCACGAGGCAAGGACCTGTCTTTCTCCTTTCTCCGATCTGCTCTGCCTGTGACTTCTTTTTGCAGAAAATGACTGGACACGTGACGCTAAGCAGAAGAACCACGTCATGGTCAATGGTCAAGGATCACCCGTCTAGTATGGACACTGCTACTGAAGAAAGCAACGGTAACCTACTTCAGTACCTCTCCCTAGTCAATCAGTGATCAAGATCTCTAAGAAACACTCGTAACAACGTAAAGGATCTCGCCACTTGGCGACAGCTGCTGAACATCATCAACAGAACTGCTGTTGCGTGTGGTCACAGGAGACATATAAGGTCATTGGTCACAGCTGTTTATTTTAGAACTATCTATCCTTGATGCTGATGCAAGGCCCTGTTCTCTGCACTTTCGCACCATTAGATTCCACGACCACTATGAAACGATGACGAATAAATCACTGACATGGCAACAGCTAAAATCATGATGAAACGGAAACCATGACTGGACAGTGACTTACCTCACTCGTGCCTTCAATCTCCTTCGTGGTGTATCGTCGAAGGGAGTACCAATGCATGACACACACGATGAACACGTAGCAGAGTAGGATTGCTATGATGCAGACGGCATCGGTCATCGTAAGGATTTTCTCTGGCTTTTTATTTCGGGAGATAAAAAAGTGTTTAGATTTTCGAGTCTTCGCATAAGCATTTTAAGATTATTGGAGGAAAAGTGGAAAAAGAAAGGGAAGTAAAATGGTAAAGAAGAAAGGAAAGAACAAGATGACATTCTATGGTATTGCATTAATTATCGACGATTTAAAGTAAAGTAGCATCAAAGCACAATCCCTAGCAACATTCAGAGTCAGTTGAAACAAGAAAGGACACTGAACCAAAATGTAGCTTTTTAAAATTCAAAACGTGTTATTTTCTATTCGTTGCCTTTTTTCTAATGTACAATGCTTACAACCACTACACCCACACCTATTTTCAAAGAACTGAAAAAAAATCTCATCATCCCTTCGAATCGCCTCCGCACATGTATAATGTATCAGCCTATAAGACGCACTCGCTTTTGAGAAGAATAAGCATACATCCAAACCTCGACAACCAACTGGAGGCACAAACCACATGTATTCAAACTCAGTTTAACGTAAGTCTCACCTCGGGCTCTTGTTCTTCCTTTTCTCCGCCTTGACTGTGGCGCCTCCTGGTCATCTGCCAGAGGACCTTGGTTGTATATAATCATCACGTACTCATAACTATCAGCAGCATAATAATAGTAATAACAATGAGAATGAGAATGATAAAGACAATGATGATATTGATAATAATATAATGTAGATATTGTTAATAACAGCAACAACAATATTAATTGCAGTAATATCAATAATAATAATTTTACAATAATATTAATGCTAATGATAGTCATAATAATAATAATATAAAATATCAACAACTATAGTAAAACTAGTAATAATAATGATAATAACAATATTAATGATGATAATGATAAACAGTTTATTTTGCAAAGTTATTGTTACGTTACAATATTGGCATTTATGTGTCTAGTAGAATAAGGTGCAGTTAACTCATATCTGGTAATATCAAATTTTGGTTCCCAGATTTTCGCGTTTAAATCTTCGAAGTGTTTCTTAGGCTGACGGAAGTCTGGAGAAAGATTGCACGTGGATATATATGTACATATATGTGTATAGATAGACAAAACCACATGCATTCAAACCAATTCAACGTAAGTCTCACCTCGGGCTTCCCTTGACCTTCCTTTTCCCCGCCTTGACCGTGGCTGCAGTTCACCTGCCAGAGGACCTTGGTTGTATATAATCATCACGTACTCTTAACTAAAATCATCATCAGCAGCATCATAATAATAGTAATGAGAGTGATAAAGACAATGATGATAATGATAACAATAATATAATGTAGATAATGTTAATAACAGCAACAACAATGTTAATTACAGTAATATCAATAATGATAATCTTACAATAATATTAATGCTAATGATACTCATGATAATATTATAAAACAACAGTAGTAATACTAGTAATAATTATAATTATAATAACAATATTAATGATGATAATGATAAACTGTTTATTCTGTAAAGTTATTGTTACGTTACAATATTGGCGTTTGTGTCTAGCAGAGTAAGGTGCAGTTAACACATAATATCTAGTAGTATTAAATTTTGGTTTCCAGATTTTCGCGTTTAAATCTTCTAAGAGTGTTTCTCAGGCTGTCGGAAGTCCGGAGAAAGATTGCATGTGGATATATATGTATATATATGTGTATAGATACACAAAAGCAGACTGACAGATAGACAGGTAGACAGACAGATAGATATGTATGTCTGAATCATATTAGCACACTCAAACTAAATGTGCACAATTTGGACACCGTAACGGTTACATACCATAGAGTTGTCTCCGAAAATAATACCCAGTCCCGAGGTCCCACTGCAAAGAAAAAAAAAAACGAAAAAAGCATGTTATGTTGATGATATGCACAGAATCAAGTCCCTTATCTATTTAGCATGTGTAGTCCGTTTTGATCCTTGGTCTCCAACGATATATGCCTTTTAGAATTTTAAGACAAAAAGGAACAACTTTTATATTTTACGTTTACATTTTTTTTATTATAGATTCAGTAACTGCCAAACCTTGTCCATTTCTTCATTATTTATGTAGATTCATGTAAAGAAGTTTTAGTGAAATCTTTTACATATGAGCTATAGAACATTACTGTTAATAATTTGTAGGCCTGTAATGCCTCAGGCACATTACCTTCGTTTCCCCAACATTCAACCTCTGCTTGCTGTCGTTCCCAAGTTCGAGGCAAAAAATCGTAAGATCCTCCATAGCTCACCTGGTTAAATTTCTTATGGAAGTGGAACTGACGTTCAGAGTCTTGAGTCTAGGCAATAGATCGGTTATGTTGAGAGGGAATTTTTTTAGGGCGTTGTGAGAGAGGTTGAGATCCTGCAGAGACGGGTATGTGGCGAGGTCAAGAGAGGTGACGTTGGCGATACTGTTGTTTGAGAGGTCGAGGGAAAGCAGGTGTAGTAGGGAGCCACAGACCTGCACTCCGGGGCTTTCCAACTGCAGAGGATCGGGAAAGATGAGGGTCGTGATTATGCTATGATGATGGCGGTAACAATGATGAAAATGTATATATTAATAGTGATAGTGATGGTGATCATAATCATGATGATTATGACCATGATAATAGCAAGAATAATACTACTAATAATAGTGAAAATTATGATCATGATACTAATACTAATGATAATAATAGTGAAAATTATGATGGCTATGATAATAATGATAATGATGAAAATAATTTTAACTGTGGTAATAAATGAGTATAATAACAGCAACAACAATGATAATGATAATATACTGGTAATAATAATAATGACAATAACAACAGTAACAGTAATGATAATAATACTGAACCAATTATCTTGCATCAGCAACACGATGTCTAAGACTTGTAAAACGGGAATTTTGTATGTCATGGCAGATGTTTTCTAGTCCCAGGGGATCAAAGCTGAGTTGACAAGTTACGCAATTATAAAATTAACTTTAGATACACTCAAATCAGATCCACGAACTCACTAGGGAAGGAGACTGACTAGGATCGTAAATAATGAAAAGTGTAGCCACGGAGATCCAACCCACGACTTCAAGAGCACGCGGTTGCAGGCAAAAGTCACATATAACGGGTCGACACACTATTCAGGACACTGACTTATGCCCAACCGCCTCAGCGCCGTCCCAGGATCACGCAACCGTGAGAAGGTAGCGGTGACATCAAGGCCTACAAATTGCTTTATAGTTTTCCCATGCTGTATCGCCGCAGATGATCAAGGTAAGTGCGGAGGGCACACCTGTTTGAGAGCCAATACACCGATCCATTGTATTTCCACCGTGAAAAGTATCTCTCAATTAAATGTAGTGCAGTGGTGGGCCGAGCTAGAATTAAACTTTCTTCTTGAGAGCGTGTAATAAATGTGATAAGCGGTGGATATATTGAACGAGCATTTTGCCAAAGGCGAGTTAAACAAACGGACAAATACGTTTTTGTATATATTGTTATATAACTCTTTAGTAAAGATAAAGCTGTGTCACTCCTACTTCTGAACACGTGAACGGGCCATGGAGTAAAAGGACGAATATTAAAAATGAAATATATGAATATATAATGTAAACATCTGGCTACCAATTTTGTATTTCTTTTGTCTTTAATAAATTATTAATTAGCAGAGCTAGTTGCATTTCCCACTTACACATTCAATTTCATTCTGATCACAGAATAACCAAAATGTCCTGCCCGCATTCACGTGTCTCTTACCCTCCAAACTGTTTACCATGTGTGCCATTTTTTTTCTTTTCCTTTCTTTTTCCTTTTTTTTTCTTAAATAAGATCCTACGCAAAGGATTATTTCTTTGAAGTTTAATCCCTAACGGTTAGGTTGTTAATTTGTTTCTTTTTCTGTTTAATCCGTTCCTTTCTGACACAGACAGCAAATCTGCCCCTACGGAATGGTGGGGGCAGATTACCCCCAGCACATATGTGCACCAACAATAATATCGCTAGAGAGAGGGAGAGGTAGAGAGAGAGAGAAAAGTAGGGAGATTTGAAAAGCAGGAATTCTGTCTGCTAATAATAATGATAATAAAACACAGCGTACCTTATTTCTAGACATCGTAAGTGTCCCCAGAGGATACAGCAACGGACAGTCGGTAGCGGTTAGTCTCTTAATTTTGTTATCATCTAAGGACACTGTGTGGAGATGCTGAGGATAACACTTGCTATCCTTACTGTAGTAGTCGTATGTATAACAGTCGCATTTCCCTCGTCCTGAGAGCACTGTACAAGAATAGAGATTGGTGAAAATTACACACGTGTCATCCAGCGCCGCCATCCACACGCACATACGTGTCACCCACATGCTATCATCCACACACACATGCACGTTACCTACATACACATAAAAGCGTCAGCCACACACAAGTAACTGAAGCACTCACAAAGCTTAGTCACGAGGTTGCGTTCGACACTGAGGCGCCTGAGGTTGCAGTACGTGGGAAAGGCCACGTTATCTATGTTGGTGATGACGTTGTTGTCCGCCAGGAAGATCTCGGTCTCGGAGGGCACGACGATCGGCAGCTCCACCAGGCCTGGAGGAGGAGGAGGAAGGAAGGTCAAGGGACGCTCACGGACCGCAGGGTTACTGGTCTGACTTTATTCTCTTTCCCTGTACCTTTAATTTCATGCAAGTGTTCAGCTGTAAACGCTATGATTTCTTTCACCGATGAATGGAAAGATATACCCATATTATTTGCAACAAAAATAATTGTACCGCGATCTTTAATATTTTCCATTGCAACTTATGCATCGGAATGATGGATTCCCAGCGGGGATGCCAAGGAAATGGAAGTTTTTGAATTCCTTCGGTCATTCAGAATCAGCTGTTAAGTCAGCTGTACAGGAGGGAGGAACAGCAATGAGTGGGTCCTTGGCAACATTCAGTGTAAAGAGAACTTGCTAAAAACAAACAAGAGGGATATTGACCTTCATTGGTCAAGCATTTTGGAAGCAGCGACATCGGGAAAGACTTTTGTTGAACTACACATACATAGGACACAGTTAACTGAATGGAGAGCTACGGAAGTTGAGTGTGAGCTTCCCATCCGTTAATGATGAATGTATCTTAGTTTCATTTGTAAATGAGGAAGGAAGCCAATAACTTCAATGCATGGGTGTATATATGCGTGCGGATATGTGTATGCATATACATATATATATATATATATGTAATGGTACTTAAATATATGTATTTATGTACGTTCATACGTATGTATGTATGTATGTGCATGTGTGTATATACATATATGTATGCATATATAAATATAGTTATATATTTACATATACACATATAAATGTATATGCACATGTATATATGTATGTATACGCATATATACACGTATATGCATACATACATATATGCGTGTGAATTTAGAGAAGCCCAAGTCCTACAGTGGAATAAATGGCTGATGAACAAATCAATATATATGTATATATATATATGCATATATATAGGGAGATGAAAGAGAGAAAGAGAGGAGATTGAGAGATAGAGAGGGAGAGAGGGAGAGTGAGAGAAAGGAAGAAAGGGAGAGAGAACGACCGACCAGATTGTTTTCATTGAAAACCTTTTCCGTGTCGTTCGCTTCCCTCCCTCGCACCCAAATCAGGAAAAGCGAGGAAACACACGCTCACTCCCGCCAGAAAGCGGAGGCAAGCAGGCGTCACCTTTCCCGGTGCAGTTCACCGTCTTCCTCCCGCTGTCGCAGTCGCACTCGGCGGGGCAGTCCTCCCAGCCGCAGCTCCGAAGAACGGCCTCGCTGAAGCAGTCGAGTTCCTCGCGGGCGTCAATGTGCAGCGCCTGCCTCGAGTACTGCCACAGGTGGTAGAGCGAGCAGTTATGGCACGCCTCGATCCAGCGGTTTTCTGCGGCGGGAGTCGGGACTGGCATGACCATGGGCGGGAATCGATTATAGACACACATAGGCACGGCCGGGAAATAGATGGCCCGTCCCTCTTCTTGTCACGTACAAGAAGAAATAGACTATGATAATAAAAGAGATATATGCATGTGTTTTACACACACACATATATATACAAATAGACTGTATATGTGTCTATATGTATAAATATATATACATATACATACACATATATACACACATATATATACGTAAATATACTCACACGCACATACATATATATAATATACACACATTATATATGTAGGTGTTTGTATGTATGTATGTAGGTATATATAAACATATATAATCTCATATGTGTGTACATGTATATATACATAAATGTGTATATTTATATATTTATATATATCTGTATGCGTGTGTGTAATGATATATACACATACACATATGTATATGCATGTGTATATATATTCCTATATATGTATGCTATCAGTGAATTAATTCCTACCTTTGATATTAACAAAGGAATCATTTTTGAGGGACTCCACCAGCCTCCTTGGCAGCCACTTCAGATAGTTGTTGGACACGTCCAAAGTCCTCAGGCGCCCCTGGGAGGAGGGCGTGGGACACGGCCCCTCCACGCACGCCGTCAGCACGGACACCTCGTCCAGATGACAGCTCGAGATGTTGAGGTGCGTCAGTCTCAAGGTTAAGTCTGGGGAGCGGGGAAGCGGAGATGGGTGTTTGTGTGTGCATGGATACAAACGCACATACGTGACACATGCAGATGGACGAATATATACAGTACATATTGCCATATTAGCTAGAGAGATGGAATATGGCTCTGGGTATTCTTCATTTGATTTCTGTTAGCATGTACTTACATACATACACATACACATATATATGTGTGTGTGTGCGCGCGCGCGTGTGTGAATGTGTTACATATGTATACACATATATACATGTAAATGTATATGTATTGTATATACACATATACAATACATCTATTTACATATATAATGCATATACATAAGTACATATCTGGTGCACACATCAACACACACACAATATATGTGTATACATATATACATATGTAAATATACATGTGCATGTACATGTATATATATTCACAAGTATACGCGCGCACATACACACATAAATATCTATACATTGTGTGTGTATATATATATAAACATACATGTTTACATATGTGTATACATGTATAAATATACATATACAAGTATATATATACATATATATACACACAAATGTGCGTGTGTGTACTGTATATATTCACGCATTTAAATTCAAATACAGTACGTTTTTACCTAACAGGGGCATTTCTTCAAAGAGCAACTTACTTCCAGGTAGTGTTATTTTCCCAAATTCATTATTCGATAAATCGAGGTGTTGCAGTTCCTGTGAAAGAGCAGATAATATTAACCACAACAGACCCCAAGGAAAGTAAGGCACCACAAGCAATACATATATGTATAATACTTGGTCTGTAAACCTACTCCTACTTTACAAAGTGAAAGATATAGCAATTAAACCAGTAAATTAGCAGACGTGACAACTAAATGCATTGAAATTAAGTATAAATCAGAAGAAAAGCAGGTGGGGCACAATACACGAGGTTTCCTTACCGATGAAAATACTGATATGTATTTTTGAAAACATGACAAGCTTACCGGGTTCTTGTCGAAGACTTTCTCAGGGAGGAAGCGATGGCCAGAAGAGGAGATGTCAAGGTGCTGGAGAGCAGGAAGATGCGACAACAATAACGTCAGTGCTGGAAAGATGGACTGCGGATAGTAGCCGGACTATTTTATGTTCACACACTTTCTGCCTATAGATTTTATTTCCATTATTCTTTGGGGACAAACTGATTGGTAAGATATGCCAGTTCGTTACTGATGAATAATGAAAGAGTAAATATAGAAAAAAAAAACAAGAAAAGAGTAAACAAAACATCTTTTTAACACAATCTATAAGCTTGTTGTTTGTGCTTTATCGAACTAACCCTTTTCAGTCACAGGCGTTTCTCTGAGAATGAGTACCGTCAGCGAGGACAGGACGCTCCACTGCATGTGTTCCAGCTTAAAGAAGCGGTTGTTCCTCAGGTCCAGCTGGCTTAAGGATGACAACGACGACTGGGGAAAAGGTCAGTCAGTGAACTGAACACATTATAAGACGGCTAAATTCCAAATTTCTAAGTTCCGAATGCTAAGATCAGGTTTTCCCTTTTGTCCCAGCTGGTCAGAGTATGTAGGTGAGGACTAGTGAGTGAAAATTAGTCGCTAAACTGATTAATATGATCAAAACCCTTCTTGACAGTTTCGCAACAGTATCACAAAATCAAATTGCATAATAGACTACTAGTATATTGTTAAAACGTTCACTTCTTTTAGTATAATATTTTCTCTGTGAACTCCAGACTCTTTTACTTCATTCTGAGTATCACTCAAAATAACATTTTATCTACTACAGCAAGATCTGTTGTAAATGATCCTACTGATTAGAAATAAAAATCACATAAATACCTGGTTTTCCATTTCAATAGATATTTGTGTTACGTTCGCGTTCTGAAGAAAAAGCGAGATGATGAAGATGTTGGGAGGAGGCTGCAGTCTTAGCTGTCCGTCCACCTTCTCCACCGTGATTTTGACGCGTATTCTTTGATTCTGTCGGCACGCATTCAAGAATAAGAACCATCGTGCAGTTATAATCGTCGACATGAAATTAACACTTCGCAAAATCAAATATAAAAAATAGAAGTCACCGCTCTACACTTAAACAATATATATTCGCTTTTGTTTTTACATTCTACGTGCTCATTCTCTTTATGAATATAACTGTAAACTTTGACTATATAAAAAACGCACACAAACACGTTAAAAGGAGAAGTGATAAAGTTTAAACACTATAATACATAATGCTGTTAATTCTGACTGATTTCTAACTTTATCACACATTTTAGATTAGATTTAAATAATTAGGCAAATAACAATGTACTAGAACATCTCTCACCTCTCCTTTCAATTGTTCGAATAACTTAGAGAGAGAAGCAGCCTGGGGACAGAGAAAGGCCCGGAATGAAATGTCTTGACTGACTTCATCGATGCATTCTCCCTTTGTTGATTCTGGATGAGATCCTGAAATTAATGCATTTATGGGTTATAGTGTTTGAAATTGATATTTATCTAGATTTATATATACAGATATATTCATATATGTATATTGTTGTGTATGAATGTACATATATGTGTGAGGGGGTTATGTGTATTTAAGCATACAGTTACATTATGTACAGACCTATCACAACAACGCTGATCAAGACCAGTAGCAGTGGCGGGAAGTGCATTCTCTGGAAAGTAAAGATTAAGTTAGTTTAGGCTTGTATTCTTACAATCCTACACAAACACACACACACGTGTATACAAGCAAATAAACACAAACAAACCATATACACACCCGTCAACACACGTAAGCACACACACACACGCATGCGCAAATATATACATATATATGTATATATTTGTGTCTATATGTGTATGTATATCTATGCATATATGTATATGTATAAATATAATATATATACTGTGTAGATATATGTCTATATATACATATATACATAGATACACATACATATATACATAGACACGCACAAACAAACTTATGTATATATATATACATACACAGACATATATATATAAACACACATGTATCATATGTATACATACATATTTAGATATATATATTCATATATATACATAAAAATGTACAAACATATATATATATATATATATATATATATATACAGTATCTATACATATTTATATACATATACATGTGTATATATATATAAACATATACGCATTCACACACATACACATTCACACATATATGTATATATACACATACATACATACATACACATATACACATGCATATATATATATATATATATATATATATATATATATATATATATATATATAAGCATATGTGTATATACATATATATGTATATATACATACATAGATATGTACATGTGTGATATACATATATATTTATATATCTATATACATATACATGTGTATATAGTGTTCTGTCCTACAACTGGTTATTTTTGCCATCCATTTCCTCGATGAACCTCTATTCTCTGTTAATTCACTAACATGTCTAGTATTTTCCTCGGGGCTAAGGGCCTTTTTCTGAGATGTCTGCCATACAGGGAAATATTAGTTAGGGAGGTTTCCCGTTGCTTTCGCTGACAGTGTTTTTTTTATTAAGACACTGTCTCTAGGATTCCAGCTAAGGCTAAAGAGTTCCCTCTATCCTTATTTCTGTTCATCCAAGAGATGGAACCCTGACAGGTGTTCCACTCTGGGTCGAAGTGGACCTTAGAGCAACAGAAAAAAAAAATGTATATATATATATATATATATATATATATATATATATATATATATATATATCACATGTATATATGTGTATATGTATATATGTAGTATATAACATGTAAGTGTATATACATATTACATGTATATATATATATATATATATATATATATATATATATATATATATATGTGTGTGTGTGTGTATACAGATGGGCACACACACAAATAAATAAATAAATATATATATATATATATATACATGTATATATTATATAGTATATATAAATATATAGACAGATACAGATATATGTGTATATACAGTATATATACATATATATGTATTTATATATGTGTATACAGATTCAATATAGATATTGCATGTATGCCTGCATGCATAAATACATTCATATATAAACATATAAATTTATGTATGTATATTTGTGCGTATCTGTCTATATACATAAATATATATATGATATATATGATATATATATATATATATATATATATATATATATATATATATATATATATGTGTGTGTGTATGTCTCTATATTCTTTCTCCCTAGATAAGAGAATCAGTCTACCACTTTATCAGTCTGTCTGCCCACATAACTATGTAAGTACATAGTTTTGTATGGGCACAGTGATTAGAAATCACCCATCAGGAGGGTTCCTCAATGATATATAACACAGAAATCCATACCTTCATGATATATTCCCAAGTTGAATACCCAGCTTGCGGCAGAGAATCTGTTGCTTTAATTATATTTTGCCGTTTGCTTTCTGGTTAAATCCATTTGATAATATTCGGGGAAGACACTTATATCCGAAGGGTTTGTAACTTGTTCCTGTCACACTGTCCTCTAGTCGGAAAAGAAGAGCGCTGCTACACCTCACACGATTTCGTTCACACACTATAGGAAAAAAGGACATTTGTCTTCTTGTCGCTATGGGTTATTTAGTTAATTTAGCTGATACTTTGAAAATGCAATGCATTTCATAAAAAAACGCAGGATACTGCAATGATATATTTTTATATGAAAATAGCAAATATATTCAGGATTGAGTGTGAAGTAAAAGGAAAAGAGACCGAATCGAAGTCTCCAAAGGTTGCCAGATTTTCCAGCATGTGCAACAAGATATAAATAAATCTAGATACAAAGCGATATATATATATGTATTTATATATATAACTGGCAATTTAGACATGCTTAATTCCATCTCAAAATCTTCCAATGATATATACAAAGAAAATATAATTGAAGACTTATTATCATAAATGTTGCCAGCTATTCTTAACTCATGAAGTTACCATGTTCTCATTTTATGATCGAAATGTGTAAACCTATCGCGAGAAATAAACTGTTTCATCAGCATCCCAAACCTTCATGTTTTCATGCAGGTCGTGGAGGTGGAGTCTGCATCTGTAATCTCGTCTGTAATGCGCCTGTGCAGAGTATATTCAACTCAGGGAAATGTCCGTCAGGGATTATACTTCTAATTAATGCCTATTAGACCGCCTGTCGTAAGTTAACATTATATGCGGAAAGAATTCATTTACTATTATATAATTATTCTTAATAAAGACATTGCGGAATACTATATTGGCACTTTTTGCTTGAAAAAGTGCCAATATACTGTTTAAATACTGTTTGAATGAATTCCGCTTGACTTCATATTCACACATACCTTCCATTTATTTAGCATTAAACGTAACTAATGGCTATGAATGCGCATTATAGATTTTGTTTTGAAAAAGTTAATCCAAATATTTAGATGAATGAACATCATTTATTCAGAAAAGTCTTTTGAAACGGATATTTTCTCGAATGCTTGGCAACGGACATGACTGGCAACTACTCTTCCCATGGAAAGAACTCGCTCTCTGCAGCCTCTGGTAAATATTCACAGAACAAAGCAGTATGGAGGCAGAGGAAACGCGATTATTACTGTATCACGATCAGTACAGATACAAGGAACATATGATATATAGGGCTTGGTCTTTACGCTGATTCCTGTTTAACACTGAAAATAACCAAGATATCAAGATAATTAACGAAAAAAATAGATTTCGGAAGTGCGTAACGTTGCACTAATGTACTTTCAATATATAACAATTAATAATCCATATCGGAAAAATGACATGATTATTACTTGCACTTAGATTGTAGCGCCACATATATCGTATATCATTATAGGTGCGTTTGCCCGTTTTGATCTCCCGTTTTCCTTTATGAACTGGAATTGCTTTAAAGAAAAGCATGGTAATCACCCTCAGTAGGGATAATGTGAACAATACGTAGCAAGAGCGGATGGCAGATTCACACCTCGGTCCAAGCAGCGGCCTTTCTCCTTGCGCAGGACGCAGGTGTTGCCTTCCTTTCTCTTTTCACACAGGAATAAACATCCGCCCTCCAAGGAAACCACCGCATAAAAGGGCACGTGCCTAAGACGACGGGAGACAAAGGGAGACACGGCAGACAGGCCAAGCCACACAGGGTCCAGCTCCACCACCTCGTCCTCCACCCGGGGACACGGGGGTCTCTCGGGGGTCTCATATCTACCTTCAGAAATAAACCAGCAAGTTAAGACCCCTTTCATTGACCACCCCAAGACCATCTCTGTTACGCTTACATCTAGTGGCTTGCGGTGGTCATTTACGCTTACAGATAAGGATAAGTCCCGATGCGCGAAGCTGAGCCTCGCCCGGGCTATGAGGGGAGCCCGGCCTGTGTCGACTGATGTCGACTCGCTGTAACGAGCACAAGGGATGTGAACTTAGAATGACCCAAAATTCGTCTAGAAACCACCCTGTGTATACCTCATTTAGTCTTTATGCATATGTATTATTTAAGTATACCTCAGTTTTTAGCTTTAATTATTTGAGAAAAGGGTACTTAATTATTTTTCTAGAAAGATGATATTTTACTTTAATAGTTTTGCAGGAAGTTTCATATAGTTTCTATATTATATATATATATATATTTTTTTTTATAAAATAAGGAAATTGTAAAATATGATAGTTTACCCTACAAAGTATAAGTTTTTTTGTTACCCCCCCCTATATATTCTCTTTATTTAAAGGGTACGCTATTATATTTCAATAGTATTATTATATTAATGTTGTATAATTGATATTTTTGTAAAGAAAACAATATATATTATTTTTGTTAATAGAAGGATTCATTTAAGTTCTGAAAATTATGCATGTATAGATTAAGAAGAACTGTATAAGGGCAATATATGTGATCTGAGTAGACTTTAAAATTCAACGTATATACAGTGCTAAATCCTGAAACTATAACTATAATCATAGAGAGAGAGATCGAGATCAGAGAGGAGTGCCATACAACAGCCTGAAAGAGTATTTGATTATCGTGAAATATCCGAGGTAAGAAAGAACATTCCACTAAAATTATATAATTAATAAAGTCATGAACTACTGTATAATTGATTTACAGAACAAAAGAAAGTAACTATTTGAGATTAAACTGAAAATTAGAGATAAAGAGTATGTCTTCTTCACAGCTCGAGGCTGGCACATGGCACATGGCTCTTGAACAACATCCGATGTGTCTCTCTTATTTATAAGAATTTAAAACCCATTCAAAGAGTAAGTGTTCGTAGCATTTATAATTGTATATTATAATGATGTTTAATCAAATTTTACGATAATATATAATTACTCAGATCGTATATAATGACATAAATATTATATATAATTTGTTTGTTTGTAAGAAATATTGTTTTTGATTTCAAGAAATGATTTACTTATATTTAATAACTTTATATTGTTTATCATTCCTAAACTAGAATAATTGTTTCTTTTCTAGGAATGGGTTTTTTGTTTTGTTTTGTTTTATTTATTTTT